TGCTGGGAAAGATTGAAGGCAGGAGAGGAAAGGGACGACAGAGGATGATATGGTTGGATGGCATCACCAATTCAATGGACACGAGTTTGAGCAAACTCCAGGAGACTGTGAATGACAGGGAAGCCTGGCATGCTGCAGTCCATGGGGTCACAAAGAGTCGGACACAACTGAGCAATTGAACAACAACAATATGAGAGTCTTGTGCGGGCCCGGGATGGGGAATACATGTAAAAAAAAAAAAAAAAAAAAAGATACACTATGGTTGTGATAAAAAAAAAAAATAAATTAATTAATAAAAAAAAAAAAAAAAGAGAGTCTTGTGCTGCTCATAAATATAGGACTCAATCAAGAATTTGAAGGCAATTAGTATCTCTTGTCTTCAGGTAAGTTGCCAGATTCACCTTTGCTCCAACCTGACTTCTCAGTTTAGTAAGACTCCCCTTCTGCTTAAACTCTATGTCCAAAGATTCATGCCAATTCATGGGGGCTTGGGAGCACACCCTCAAGGGAAATGCTGATTAAACATGTATCTCCCCCAATGTCTACTTTCTTTCAAGGATGGTATCTCTTTCAGCTTCTATTGTTTGGTCCTCAACCCCTCAGAAGTTGATTTTTACATTTTATCAAGTTTATAATTACAAACAGGAGAGTTAATCTGTTAAAAGCCACTACATTATCACCAGAACCAAACTCCCCAACTATATTTTGGGCTTCTCAGGCGGTGCAATGGTAAAGAATCTGCCTGCCAATGCAGGAGATGCAAGAGACACAGGTTCACTCCTTGGGTCAGGAAGATCCCCTGGGGGAGGAAATGGCAACTCACTCCAGCATTCCTGCCTGGAAAATCCCATTGACAGGGGAGTCTGGCAGAGGTGTCATAAAGAGTCAAACACAACTTAGCACACATGCAGCAGGAACTGTATTTTCAATGTAGATACATCTTACCTGGGGCTTTCCTGGTGGCTCAGATGGTAAAGAATCTGCCTGCAATGTGGGAGACCCAGGTTCCCAACCCTGGGTTGGGAAAATTCTCTCTGTCCTGGAGAATCCCATGGACAGAGGAGCCTGGTGGGCTACAGTCCATAGGGTGGCACAGAGTTGTACACGACTGAAGCAACTTAGCATGCACGCACACCTACCTAATGTATTAGTGAACATGTAATTCTATCACAAATGATGTACAGTAATATTTGAAAACTTTTTTCAATATACTTATTTCCCTTATAATCCTTCTTTTAAAAATGGGAAACATTATTCTGAAAAGTTTTCAAAGGCTTTACCTAAGAATTTCCAACACAAAAAGGTTAAGAACTTTAAAATCTATGTTAAGAACTCCTGGCCTTAGACTCTCCTTCTTGCTGCTGCCATAGGTTTCCTGCAGTTGAGGGAAGGAGTTTCTCCAGGATTCCTTCATTCATTATCTACTGAGTACCTACTATGTGTCACGGACTGTCCTAGGCCCAGGAGACAAGACAGTAAATAAAACCAAGTCCCTCCACTCAGGAGTCGGCAGTTATACAAGTGTTCTTTTCACATTTCCAAGTATAAGGATCACTAAGTCTTTCTCCTCTAATTACAGGGTTACCTGATGTGGAGGAACAGCTACTGACTCACACGTATTAATTGGATAAAATTCTGCTGAGAGGCTCTACTCCCAGGGGTATTTGTTCTCATCCCTCTTCACCCTGGTCTACTGTTAGAGCCACCACCCCTTTCCTACGTAGGAGAAAAGGAAGTTTCAGGCAGGAAGAAGGAATTGTCAGATGCTGCAGGGAAGCCATAACCTAAGGGAAGGCCAACTGGATTTGCAGCCTTTGGTCATGAGAACCCATTAACAAACTCAATGCTGGTGTAGGGACAGCAGCCACCCTGCTGGAAGAAAAGAAGTGGGATGCAGCAGTGTGGCCCTTTTCGAAGTTTGGCAATAAAGTTTAGAAGGAACAGCTAGGCAGGGAGGTAGGGTCAAGAGACAAGCTCTTTTTGGATGAGAAAAGCCTTGGCACTTTTTAAGGCTGAGGAGAGACAAGACTGAGTTACAATGAAGTTATTAGTGGGCCAAGTATGGATAAGTGACAACCCAGAGAGATAAAGAGCATAGGACAAGCATTGAACAAAATTTAGTTCTTGGACCCAATTAGCATTCATTTTTTTGGTGGGGATTTCACAGCACTTCTGTGCTGAGTGGACTTTCTGCAGATTCCTAAGCCCAGGGTTTCTCTAGTGGTTCAGTGGTAAAGAATCCACCTACCAATGCAGGAGATGCAGGTTCCAGTCCCTGGATCAGGAAGATCCCCTGGAGAAGGAAATAGCAACCCACTCCAGTACTCTTACCTGGGAAATCCTATGGCTAGAGGTGCCTGGAGGGCTACAGTCCATGGGGTCACAAAGAGTCGGACATGGCTGAGTGACTAAACAACATCACTACTTAAACTGAGTTTGGAGTTGAAGATGCATTGACCTGAAACTAAACTTTGTGCTTCCCTCTAGACTCCGCCCTGTCCGCTGTCCACATCTTTGTGGATGTGCTGCCACCTGCTGGAAGAGTGATGAAAGTGGCGACAACCATTTGCTGTAGAGAGCTTTTCTAAAATGGCTGCAAAACCCTCACCAAGAGACCAGATAGGCACTGCTAAGGCCTAGGATTAAGAGGTTTGTTGGACTCCCTAAATCCAAGTGCTACAGGGTAGCCACCCTTCATCTTCATCTTTCTTGCAATGGAAATCACTACAATATCCCTGGCTGGAATAACTAGTAGTATACAGGACCTGACAATCTCCTTCACTTGAGGGGAAGGAAGAACTGTTAGGATTAAAGAACCGTTTTTCTGCTCAACCTGCCCCACAGCAGGATACAGACACTGAGCTCAAAGCCTGGCACACCATGGGTACAGTACAAGCAGCATTAGCTGCTAGTGGATTAGCAAGTCAGCAAATGCCGATTCATGTTTCTAGGCGGCCAAGTTGTTTATTACACCATCAGGTTTAAACCCAGAAACTTGTCTAAAGTTGAGCTAAGCGGTCAGGGGTGGTACCCACAAGACGACAGCTGCTGGATAATGGAGAAGGCCTGGAAACCCAGAGACCAATCATATAGGCCCTTCCTAAATGCCCAGTTTGACAGACTGAGCTGCCATTGATGCAAATCTCCACACGTCCAAAATTCTACGTTTGCTTCAAAAGGTAACAGATTTAACATGGCTTCCCAGGTGGCTCAATGGTAAAGAATTCACCTGCCAATGCTGGAGACACAGAAGATGGAGGTTTGATCTGTGCATTTCCGTGGAGTAGGAAATGGCAACCCACTCCAGCATTCTTGCCTGGATAATCCCATGGACAGAGGTGGTGGGCTACAGTCCATGGGGTCGCAGAGTCCAACACGACTGAAGTGACTTAGCTATCACACACTAGCGTAAACAGCTCCAACTAACTGGACCTCCTAAATCTAGAAAATATAGGCCACAAAGGGTTCATTTTAGTTTTTAGGTTTGGTTAATCAGATGATGTCCCAATGCTGGCTTTTCTTTCTAGCAGAAACAAATTTTTCAATCTTCCTTGCTTCAAAACTGGTATTTATCCTGCTCTGTCATACAACAGACTTGGTAGTGAGGTGGCACTAGTAAAGAATTCACCTGCCAATGGAGATGCGAGACTAGGGTTCAACCTCTGGGTCAGGAAATTCCCTGGAGTTGGAAATGGCAACTCACTCTAGTATCTTTGCCTAGAATACTAAAGCCGCATAGTAGGCTACTGTCCATGGGGTCACAAAGAGTGTAACACAACTGAGACAAGGTGTATCACATGCTCAAGGTTTAAGACACCCTCACTCCACCAGCAACTCGGCCTGAAAACTGCACCAAGGACTGGTAGTTTCACGCAAGCCATTTTTTATGCAGTGGGGATAGGTTGGGGATGATTTAAGTGACATTATTTATACCACCACTGATCTGACAGGAGGCAGAGCTCAGCTGATAATTCTGTGATGGCAGTGGATCACCTATTATGCAGCCCGGTTCTTAACAGGGTTGGTGACCCCTGGTTTGTATCTTTCAGTCAGCCTTCTATTCTACTAGTATCTTTCATTCTATCACCTAGGGCACTATTTTTCAACTAAAATGTTAATCCCTTGACCTAGATCTCTCATGTGACCTTTTATTTGGAAGTGGGGTGGGCAGGGAACGCTTGTATAATGTCTGAATTAACCCAGTGCAAAACCGAAGGCCTTTCTTGTCAGTTTAACCCGAAGTTGTTGGAAGCCTTCATCTTGGCCCATTCACCCAAGAATTCTCATCAAGCACTGCTCTTGTATGCTTATCTAAGAGGCTCAACCAAAGCATTCCTAGCCCTCTTTACAGAGGGCTTTCAGGACACCTGACCCTCAGGACTGTTTGTTAAGTGGATTAAGATCATAGGAGACTCTCATATGAAGACACACAAGGCTGCAGTTGGTTACTGCAGTAGCCATTTCACCAAAACTTATGGCTGGGACACTCAAAACCAAATCAGGGGTGGAGTAGATGTTGAGTGGTAGAACTGGCTCCACCATGCTCCACTCTCGGTGATGTTCCAGGAGAAACACTCTAAGACAGGAAGTACAAGGCTGGCACCAGAGTTCTAGGACTTTTAATCTGTCCCAAAATTGCTGAAGCAAAAATCATGATAAAACATTCTGCTTTCCTTTACACCCCCCAACGCAAAAAAAAAAAAAAACAACTCCGTAGGAAAAACAGTTTTGTACATGGGAAGAAACAATATAAATTCGAAACTTACAGATAAGGGTTAGCTCTATCACTCATCTCTTTAAAAAGTTTATACGAATATCCAGTCAACACCAACAGGGTTATCTCCCTTGAAATGTTATCTATACGGATTTCCAAGTAGACCACAGGGCTGTATACTGTCTTGGAATGTCCTCAGAAGGCTCTGTCATTGATCAGGTAACAGAGTAAAAACCCCAGAGTCCTTTCTTTCAAACGGAAGAGGGAGAGACAGGGATAGAAGAAACTATTCAAACTTCGTCTTCTTTCCTTGTGGCTTGTGGTCTCCTCCTCCTCCTCTGCCTCCTCGGAAGCCTCCTCGCCCTGCAGAAAAGCAGGCAGCATTAAAATAGGCTGCAAAACTGCCAGTCATCCCTCCCCAGCAGGGCGAGTGAGGACTCAGGGACTGATGCAGAAACATGGCTCTGCAGGTTTGGAAGTGCACGGCCACATAACAGCATCCAGTGGACACAGCAGGGTGGCCCTCCATGCTTCTTACCTCCAAAGCCTCCCCGGCCTCTGCCACCAAATCCACCTCGGCCACCTCTGCCACCACCTCGGCCTCCAAAGCCACCTCTGCCTCCTCCTCGACCACCAAAGCCACCTTCACCCTTAGGTTTGGCCCAGTCTAAAGTGACTTTGTTTCCATCGATTTCACCATCTTCCATGGCCTCCTTGGCAGCTTTGGCATCTTCCTCACTATTGAAGTCTACAAAACCAAACCTAAAACACCAAATGAAATTGCCTGTTGTAGAGCACACATATGCCAAGTTTAATCTCACATGTTCCACAGTGATCCCATAAGCCTTAAGTGGGAAAGACCCAGGTGAGAGCACTTCCCTACGGAAAGCTGAAACAGAATGTCTCACAAAACAGCTGAACAGGCCTCTGTGAAGACAGAAGGCAACAACGCTAGCTCCGTGAATTGTCTCTTCTTCTCGTGCGAATCCTCAACTGTCACTAATCGACAGAAAGGAGCTCAGTGAGAAGACTCAAGGTGGGAGCTCTCAGTAAGAAGACTCAAGGTGGAATGCCGCACATTTCCTGCCTCTTACTCACCCTTTGGAGGATCCAGTCTCCCGGTCAGTGACTATCCTTGCTCGAATAGAGCCATCAAACGACTCCTTTAACGTCTCTTCTGTGGTATCCTCAGAGAGACCTTTGACAAACAGAGTTTTGGATGGCTCTGGGAAATAAAAATAAAAACTGTTATCAGTCACAATCCATGACAACACTGGATTTACACGTTAACAGTATAGCATCTGACTACTGGCCAAGAATGCTTGCCTTAGCAAATGGTAGCCTTTCACTTGGAGTGTCTATATGAGAAAAAGCAAGTTAAAGCAACTTGGGTCAATTAATGCTTAATTCAGCAAAGGGCTTGGACCAAATTCCACATTATGTTTACACTGATCCCCAGAGCAATTAAGAATCTTTTTATGGAAAAGAGGAGAAGCAGCAACCCAATTAAGTGACAGTAGTCCTAAAGTAGGCAGCTATAAACACAAGACAATAAACCACAGGTCAATTTGCTGCTCAGTGTTGACCTAGCTGGATCAGAACTTGACTATCTAGAGGAATTTTCTTGAGATTTCATCAGTTACTTCTCAGATAATCAGTCATCATATCCAGTATCATTTACTCAGCAGCAACAGAAAGAAGCAAATGTTCTTCTGTAGATCTCAGGACCCAACAACAACATCCTCTTAACAAAGTGACTTACGGCTTCTTGCATTAGGTGATCCCCTGGGTCCTTGCAACTCCAGTCTGATGGCTCTGCCCTCAATTTCCCTTTTATTACATGAATTTAAAGCTTCTTTAGCATCTTCAAATGAAGCAAATTCTATAAATGCATACCTGAGGATTAAGTCAATACTTAAGAGTAAGTTATCAAGCACATGGACTCCACTGCTGCCACCAAGCCTTTTTCCTCAAGCAAACCCTTAAAACAATGCAGCCTCTGCTAAATGTCAGAGTATGATTTCACCTCCACAAGATATTCTTAAAAAGCCTGTAACTGGCGACATAAAGATACTTTACCCTTTAGATTTGCCATTTTGGTTCTGGGGCACCTTGATATGAGTTGCCTTCTCAAAAACTTCCTGAAGGGTTTCTTCCGTTGCACTATAGGAGAGGTTGCTTAAAACCAGGGTTTTTGATTCACCTATAAATAAAGAGATGTCAAGTTAAGACTCTGAAGCAATATGTCCCAACTTAAGTCACAGCTGTACTGTGTTCTTCAAGAACTTCTGCGCTTCGGAGATGTAACACACCAATGTTAATACAGGTGGAATCCTACTTGCTACTCAACAGCAAATACCTGTTAAGTACTTATATGCTGGTTCCTTCCATTCCTATTGTGCAGATGTGCAAGCCCTGTGTTTTCCTAGAGCAATATTCTAATTTAAATGCACACAATCTAAGTTCTTACAGTATAAAACATACAAAGGAAGCTAGATTTATCTATGTTCTAGCACAAGTATTTCATATAGCTCTCATTCAAGACAATTACAAATAGAGGTATAACATGCTGATCTACATCCAATTTATCAACTATATAAAGTACAAAGATGAAAAGGATTTCTTTTCCCTCCAAAATTTCAGAACCCAGAAGGAAACCTAAATTCTTACCACTCCAAGTGCTATTCTTTCCCCCTCTATGGTCTTGACTTTGACCTTTCTCTCCGGTGTAGTACAGAGAAATGGATCGCCCATCTATCTCTGTTCCCTGCTTTTCTTCCAAGGTTTTTTCTGCGTCAGCTTCTGTCTTAAATTCAATATAAGCAATCCTACAACAGGGGAAAAAAAAGTAAAGAACTCACTCGGTTTTAAAAACTGTATTAATTCTCTCTTAATCTCAGCAATATGACTATTTCAGACGAGTAAAATAAAAATGCCCTTTGTTTTATACTAACTGAAATGTTCAAGGTTTCTGCCATTTTCCACTTTTCAACTAAAACTTTCCCCCCACTACAGAAAGCTTACCCAATACTTCTAGAAAAAATTTTCATGTTAAACCCACCTCACTACAATAATTACAATTACTTTCAAAACATTTACTGTAAGCTAGGCCTTAGGTAGTACTTTATGTTAGTTTATAATAAAATTACTCTGAATTAGGTACATTATCCTCACTGTACAGATAGGAAACTCAGATTATAGAATAATGTGCCCAAAATCACAAACATAGGAAAGTTAAAATCAACATTTCTTCTATAAATTAAAGTGCATTTAATTTTAATGAAACATTTCAGTAGACACAAAACATACCCTTTACTCTTTCCATCCTTGCTGACTAATCTGATCTCCACAGCATCTTCAAACACTTCTTTTAATTCATCCTGAGTAACTTTGTAAGGCAGATTTTTAGCCAAAAGTGTTCTTGCATCTCGATCTAGATTTAAAAAAAAACAACACAAAAATGAACTGAATGGCTTAAAAAACCCTTCTTGTGCCAGAGATCAAAGACTGACCAATATACAAGTTCTTGCTAAAATTTTTACAGACTTCTCTGGCAGTCCAGTGGTGGACTGAGCTCCTTTATGCAGAGGCACAGGTTTGATCCCTGGTTGGGGAACTAAGACCCTGCTGGCAACAGGGCACAAACAAAAAAAATTTTTTTTAAAAAGTAATAATTTTTAGATTTCATAATGTAAAAGGCACTCTGCTATTATGCATTATGGAGATATAGCAATGGCAAAACAAACTGCTTTCACAGCTGACAGCTAACTATGTGCTGAACACTTAAAAAGAGAGCTAAATATCATATGCTATGTATATAAAGTGTTCAGTACGTTTTAATTTAAAAGACCACGGGGAAAAAAAAGTGTAGGGAATTCCCTCGTGGTCCAATGGTTGGGACTCTTGTGCTTCCACTGCAGGGGGCATGGTTTGATTCCTGGTCAGGAAACTAGGATTTCACAAGGTATACAATGCAGGCACCCCAAATTTTTATTTTTAAAAATCTAAAAATAAAAAGGTGATGCACACACACTTGAAAGGTGACAAGTGTATAGAAAAAGGTAAAAGATGCAAAAGGAGTAGTTAAGAGATCTGAAAGACTATTAATTTAGATATACCAAACCAATTATTTTTTGATTAAGTCTAGCAAGCAGTGCCAAGCACTGATGTAAACATTTAACATTCTAATTCATTTAATCCTCAACATATGAGGAAGCCAAAAGAAAAAGGTTAAATTGCTCACCCTGGCTTGTCTACATTAGATTAGATACATAGACATGAACAAGCTATCAGTATCAGCATCACCTAAAGCTTTACATACCTTTCTTACTGTCTTTTCCCTTTGGTTTTTCTAGTTTAATTTCATTGCCAAAGACTTTTAAACCAGTGAGTTCCAAGGCTTTTTCCAGGTCTTCGGCAGATTCAAAATCCACATAGCCAAACTTCCTTTAAAGTGAAGGGACAAAAATTTTAAAAATTACAGGTCAGGGGGTGGTGGGACAAACCCCACAAGTGTCACAAGTAACAAGAACTCCGCATTCACTATTATGGCCTTTCAGGTCTAAGAAATATTTAGTTTGTATTATATCAAAAATTAAGGGGAATTATGGAAACTTCAATTTGGGGGTTTCACAATTTGATAATCAAATTATTTAATTTTTTAAAATTATTTAATCAAATTATTTAATTCAATAATATCTACTCTTTGGAGACTTTTAAGATATTCATATTTAAGAGTAATGAGCTAAGGTCCTAAAAGGGAAAGGAAAAAGCAACAGCAGACCCACAATAATGTGTGATGTTATGACACAGCGCCCCCATACTTACCTAGAAACACCAATTCTGACATCAACAACAGCAAGATCATTTTTAGCAAAAAGATCACTGATACCCGTTTTCAATTCAGGAGCAGATTTATTGAAGTTCAGGTTTCCAACAAAGAGATTGAAAGATGTAGTTGGTTCTGTGCCTGTACAAAAATTTTCTCAAATTAGTCAATTTTCCAGTATATTTGAATATTAATCAAATTATTATTTCTGTACACAGCACATCAGCACATTGCAATATAACATCAGATTTCAGTATTAAGTCCCTTTATTGTTCATCACTTGTGCTATGTGGTGTCATTTCCCAATCCCCCAATTCTCTAAGTTACCTTCCACTTTTTGTTTCTTGGCTTCAGGAGCTGCTTTTTGTTTGGCCATTTCCTTCTTTCGTTTTCCAGGTGCTTCTTTGACAGGCTCTGGACAAGAGTTCAAACAATCTGTCATCCACACATACTCAAGTACCTCCCTTTAAACAAAACTCATGTCAATGTACTTGAGAATCCAACTTGATTACCTTCTTCCTCTTCCTCCTCTTCTTCCTCCTCCTCATCCTCTTCCTCCTCATCGTCGTCGTCCTCTTCATCGTCGTCCTCCTCTTCATCGTCATCATCGTCTTCATCATCATCCTCTTCATCTTCATCTTCAGCAGCGCTCTTGGCCTTCACAGGAACAGCTTTTACTGGAGCTTTCTTTCCTTTGGCTGGCACAATCTCCATAGGTTCTTCTTCAGAGTCTGAAAGAGAAGCCACCTAGTCAAAAACTGAGTTCTATCCCAGTTATATGAAGACTTAAAGGAAAATAAATGTAATCTTGTTCATGCCACTGCACTTAAGAGCTATGGTAAGAAAAATACAGAATGAGTTGTTTGAAGCCTTTTACTCAGGAGCAGCTGTGGGGTTGCAAAGCATCAAAAGGACTGAGCAACATAAGCAGGCAGTCTCTCATGGGTACCAATCTAGTGCATCACAATCAGTCCAGAGAATCCCATGATTCTTGTCTAACCCCCCCAGGTGTTCAGGAATATGTAGTTTTACCACCCACACCTCATCCCTAATGTACCTTGCAAACAGGAGTCCAGGAACTACCAATACAATGCCTTACCATCTTCGTCCTCCTCATCCTCCTCATCCTCCTCCTCATCATCATCATCGTCATCATCCTCCTCATCCTCGTCATCCTCATCATCTGTGGCAGGAGCAGCACCAAAAGCAGCAGCTGCCTTCCTCACTGCTGGTTCATCCTCCTCTTCATCTTCATCGTCTTCCTCTTCACTGTCATCTTCCTCTTCTTCATCACTGTCTTCCTTCTTGGCATTCTTGCCGTTCTTTGCTCCCTTGCCTGAGGCAGCTGCTCCCTTCTTACCAGAGGTTGCTACCAATGCTTTGCCTGGGGTGGCTCCCTTTTTGCCAGGTGTTACCACTGCTTTGGCAGGTGTAACTGTCTTCTTGGCTGGCATAGCTGCTGCCTTTTTGCCAGGGGTGACAACTGCTTTCTTTGCCGGTGTGGCAACTGCAACCTTTTTTGTTGGGGAAACCATCATCTTCTTTGCTGGAGTCGTGGTAGCCTTCTTGCCTTTTTTCTGAGGGATGACAACCTTTAAAAATAAACAAAAAACAGCATAAGCTTGTTTTCAAACTCGGAAGAGTTGTCCCATAAATGAATTCTCAATTCTAGCACTAGTGCTCGATTCTAGCACTGCCTCAGTTCAACACCACAGGCACCAGATGTGAGCAAGTTAAAAGGTAGGGTCAAATTTACATGTTCTGTACACTTCAAGTCACAGTCCTAATCTTGCAGGAAACTCTAACACAGACCCTGAAAATAGACTAGATGACACTGCTTGGGCTTAGACAAAGTTTTAAAACTTAATTTTAAGCTTCAGTAGTTTTCCCATCTGAAAATAACTATTGCTCCGTCGCTACGTCACATGCGACTCTGTGACCCCATGGACTGCAGCCAGGCGTCCCTGTCCTCACCATCTCCTGGAGTTTGCTCAAATCCACATCCATTGGGTCAGTGATGTTACCTAACCATCTCATCCTCTTCTGCCCTCAACCTTTCCCAGCATCAGGGTCTTTTCCAATGAGTTGGCTCTTTATACACTGCTTTAAGGATTATGACTTGATATACATAATCAAAAGCCTTAACACATAGAAAAGACAACCTGTAAGTGTTATTAAGTCATTTGGGGCTCTCACAGTGGGTGGAGGTAGGAAGTTCACTGAATGGTCATTCTTAGGACCAAAGAGGAAATGAACATCAAAATGTCAAGTGGGATAATCAATAGTGGCAAAATTAGTAAAGAGCACATTAGCGTGATAAAAACCATCACTTGTCTATAATTAAAGTTACACTCAAAACTACTTTTTGTTAACTATTGGTTTTATCAGGTAACATGTGTCAAAACAAAACCGTCATTAAATTCTAAATAAGAAATATGAGCAAATAAAGCAATTAGTCGTCTTTATGGTGAGCCAACAGTAGCTGGGAGCTCTAAATAAGTGCCAATACAATGAAAGGTGGCAACTCTCAGTCCACACCACTGTAACAGTGATTAGTATTATCAAACTCATACAGGGTAACAGAGACCAACTGATCCTACCTGGAAGCTAGAAGAATCTGATAAGGCTAACCTCAGACCTGAATATAATGCTCAGAGCTGTCACAGGACAGTTAACTGTCCACCTTGTTTATCTGGTATGTGGAACACACACGTTGAAAGTGGAAAACTAGTGATTCACTACAATATATCACACCAAGCCCTGCAGAAGGTGTGCAGACATGTGCGCGCACACACACACCTACAGATCTTTCAAGTTCATTCAAATATTCTTGTGCTATCTTGACAGGTCAATACAACTTTGTGAAATGCTTGACCATTACAACAGGTCCTATGTGAATTAACAGAATCCTGGTTTTCCTGCTAATATTTTCAGACATCCAACACCACCTCCATTTTGTAGTTTAAGGCAATTCAACATCGAACTATATACAATTACCTCTTCTCCACTGCTCTCATCGTCTTCATCTTCTGACATTTCCTCATCTTCACTATCTTCTACCTCCTTTGGGGGAGGAGCCATTTTCTTGGAGTCACCTTGATTTTTACCGGCCTAAAACAGACGTGACACATTACACCCTCCCGCATTTCAAGCCATTCTTCATGGCGAAACAGCAGTCATCTCCCTTAGAACTCACTCTTCATACTAGTAAGTACAATTTACATAGACACTATCCTTCATACCAACGTTAACATAGGGCTTCCCAGGTGGCGCTAATGGTAAAATACCCACCTGCCACTGTAGCAGACAAGAGACGGAGGTTCAAACCCTTGATCGGGAAGATCCCCCTGGAGGGCATGGCAACCCACTCCAGTATTCTTGTCTAGAGAATCCCATGGACAGAGAAACCTGGCCGGCTACAATCCATGGTGTAGCAGAGAGATGGATATGACCGAAGCGACTCAGCACTCAAAATTTCCTACGTGTTTTCTCTCAAGTTCTTTAAAAAACCAACCTTTGCTTTAGATAAAAGGCTACTCTCTTCTTGCTACGTTCTTTAAGTACACCCGTTTTAAAAATTACACCTCCAGCCAGAATCGAACCTTTCTTCACCGCACCGTTTCTCAATGTGGACTACAACTGGACCACTGTAACTGCCAACAATTCAAGGTCCTTCACGTGAGGAAAACCACCTTGAAAAAGTCTTTGAGGTAAATTGTGCCACCAAATTCCACCACCCTTGTCTAAAGGCAGCTTAAAAAAAAAAAAAACACGTCTTAACCCGTAGTCTTCTATTAAGACTTCCTTTCCCAGGTTACCAACCCCGCCCCTTTCTGCCCTGGAAGGGCCACGTGGGATAAGTCGCAGGCCACCACGTGCGCGCAGCCCGGCGCAGAAAGCATGCGGCAGGGCCTCCTTCCGGAACCCCCCTCCCGTCCGCCCACCCGGTTGAACTGGAGACAAGTTGTACCGCCGCCCTCCGCCCCAGAGCCAGGTCCCTCCGCAGGCCGCGGGCCCCACACAGCGCGGCCCACGTGGCGGGCCCCGCGCCGCGGCACGTGCGTCAGGAGGCGGGGCCCCGCTCCGGCCCGTCGCAGGAGTTTCGCCTCATCAGTCCGAGGCCCTGCGCCCCCTCCCCGCTCTCAGCCCCGAAGTCCTTCCCCGCCGCATTCACTACGCGCGCGGCACCTGCCGAAGCTCTTCACTTCGCTACCAAGCAGCTAAAAGACGCGAGACCTCCCAGCTAATCGCGCGAGACTTCCCACAGCATGGCGCCCTCGAACGCGCCCGGGACGGCGCGCAGGCCCCCCTCCTGGCGGCGCAGCGCGCGCGCTCCTCGGAAAACAGGCCTTGACGTCCGTGCTCGCGCGGGCAAGGCCTCTTACCTTTGCGAGCTTTACCATGATGGCGGCTTATGACGGCGGAGTGTGTGGCGAGCGAGTGGCGCAGACGAGCCCAGAGGAACCTAAGCACCGTCGATGGCGGCCGCTAATCCCTCAGCGCGTACGCTTGGCTGCCAGCTAGCGCTCGAGACTGAGGCGAAAGACTGAGCCTGCCCAGTAATCGCCTCTGGAAAGGCGACGACGGCACCCTCGTGACTCCGCCTCGACCAACCAGAGTCCGCGTCCCTCTCATGAGCCAATCGCTAGCCTCTAGCTGAGAACGGCGCGGGGCGGGGCACGGGCCGAAGTGGGCGGGCCGAGGCGGCCAAAGAAGGGGGAGGGGATTCGTGGCGGCGGCCTGGGGGCGGGACTCGCTTTGTGCAAGGCCAGCTCTGATAGGGCCATTCGTGCGCGGTACCCGGAGTGCCCATCCACGGCCCGCGCTCGCGGCGCCTGCGCTTTGGGACGGACATTTTGGCGCCGCGTGTTCCATAACTCCCGGGCGGTGGATAGCAGTGGTTTCTGATTTTTCACTGTGTCAGGGTCTTGTCTGCTACGGAGGGCTTGAGTTTCCTGGAGGCTTCACGGGCGCCCCTGTCCCACATTCTACACAAAGCCTCCTGGAGGCAGTGCTGATGAGAGTTTGTGCCGTTTCCTCTCTAAAGAGCCCGAGACGTTCGGGAATTCAGAATCCACCGCGTTGAGCGCCCACCTTAGTTCCCCTGCTGATGAACCGCGCCAGAAAGTACCCGTCTGCTGGCGACTCCCCCGGGGCCCCGTCTGAGAAACTGCCTCCTGAGAGCTGCTGATATAGACAGTCTAGTATGGGAGGTTAACAGTGAGCAACGCACAAACAACATTTAATCTCAAGAAAACTCATGTGCTATGTATTTTTCACTGTAGGAAACACCCTGGTGGTCACGGGATAACTGCGGGCTAAGGAGAACTTGGTCAGGCCAACCACAAAGCAGAGCCTTTGACCACTTAAAAGTTACCTCTTTGTTATTTGGGACTAAAACACCTACTTTTTAGAAACGGTGGCTGCTAAGTCAGTGTCAGATGGTCCAGGAGTAAAGGAAGGTTCCCTGGACGGAATAGAAGATTGCCTTTTTCGTTGTGCTTTTGCCAGTTATTCAGATGGATCGCTGGCAAAACTTAATTGGTGTAAAACTCAACCCAGAAAAAAACAAAACAAAACAAAAAAAAACCTCAACCCAAAGCACTTTCTTCAGTTTAGAGCTGCCCAGGTAGGAGGTTATATCTCTAGCGTCTGGTACCTGGTACAAAACCAAGGTATCTTCAGCTATGACGCTATTTCCCCAAATGAACTAATGTTCAGAATCACCTCTGGGGTTCGTAATTAAAGAGATGTGGGGCTGAGCCCAGGGTTTTGTATTTTAACAAGGGCTCATTGGGGCTTCTCTGAGCCACCAAATTATTTTGCAATTCTTACTGAAACTCTCCTGTGACTGAGTGAATAGGAAGCCCACAGCTACTCACTGAGGCTGTCTGATCAGGGAGGAGACTGGTGCCCGTGCTCTGGTCTGCACCCTGCTTTCTGATATCTGTGGCGAGCATCCTAAGGAGGTTTTCATTTTGAACTCTGGGATGGGGCCAAACGGGCCAGTACTGGGTGACTGGGGACAGAAAAAACAGCATAAGCCAAGGCGTGGTAGAATAAAACCCCAGTGTTTGTAAGCAGTTTGGCACAGAGCAAACTTTGGGCACTCATGGGAAGAGGCTAGGGAGATAAGCAGGGAACATGATCAAGTGACAAGGATGAGTTATAGAAATATTGGCATGGCTGACTTGTCAGTTCAGGTCTCAGCTTATATCACCTCTTAAGAGGCCTTCCCCCACCCTCCAGTGAAAAGTGCCACGCAGAGGCTTCCTACCACACCACCCTAATGGAGGCAGGTTCTTAACCACTACCTAGCATTTTTCTGTCTTTTTACTGCCCATTTGCTCTTTCCCCAGCCTCGAGAATACAGCGTTTATTCTCTGCTGAATTCCTAGTGCTTTAAGCATTGCCTGATACAAGTAGTGGTGGAAACTTGTTGAATGAATGAAGTATTTAGGTAAGGGGAGCCGTGGAGAAAGTCTGAGTGTATGAGTGATCAAGTGGTTTGCTTTGGAGTCAGCCTGAGATTAAAAAGAAAAAAAAAATAGTAATCGCTAATACTTATATAATAATTATGAATTTCTAAGCACTATTCCAGTTCTTTATACCTCTAAAAATAAATTACCACTGTTTTACAGAAACTGAAGCAGATAGATAGATTAACTTGTCCAGGGTCACATAGTTAGGGACTAGAATTTATTTTTTTTTAGCATTTATTTGACCACTTTTAAGTGGTCAAAGGCCCTGGTTTGTGGTTGGCCTGACCAAGTACTTCTCCTCAGGCCACAGTTATAACATCCTGTGACCACCAGGGTGTTTCCTACTGTGAAAAATTCCTAGTACTAGAGGTTTCTTGAGATTAAATATTGTTTGTGTGCTGCTCACAGTAAACCAAATAAATTTTAATATTTTAAATATTTAATAAATATACATTAACATAAAACAATATATTAATAAATTTATTAATAATTAACAAATTGATAGTTATTAATAAATCATTTATTTTAATATTTATATGTGATATATATTTAAAATTTTTATTAAAAATAAACATTAATATTTATTCAAGGTCTTAGTTGCAGCTTGGCAAACTTCTAGTTGTGGCAGGGGGATCTAGTACCCTGACCAGGGATCAAACCTGGGCCCTCTGCATTAAGAGTGTGGAGTCTTAGCCACTGGACCACCAGGGAAGTCCTGGAACTAGGATTGAAATAGACCCTACTCTATCATCCCAGTTTCTTTATAAAATGGGGATAATAATAGCACCTGACTTTGGGGTTGTAACAAGTATTAAATGAGATGTATAATAAGCCCTTAATACTAGTTAGTGTTATTATTGACAGACTTGGTGACTTGAATTATGGGCTTTCCTGATAGTTCAGTTGGTAAAGAATCCACCTGCAATGAAGGAGCCCCCGGTTCGATTCCTGGGTCAGGAAGATCTGCTGGAGAAGGGATAGGCTACCCACTCCAGTATTCTTGGGCTTCCCTGGTGGCTCAACTGATAAAGAATCTGCCCGCAATGCGGGAGACCTGGGTTTGATCCCGGGGTTGGGAAGATCCCCTTGGAGAAGGGAAAGGCTACCCACTCCAGTATTCCGGCCTGGAGAATTCCATGGACTATACAGGGTCACAAAGAGTTGGACACAACTGAGCAGCTTTCACCTCACTTCATAAAGAGGGATAAAGGATCATTTATTTCCATTATCTGTTGAATGTGTGTATGTAAGTGGAGTGACACCAACAGGGCTGCAGCTTTGGGGAAGCTCCTGAGTTCTGCGTTGGACGTGCTGCATGCATGAGAAATACCAGTCCCTTTAGGCAATTGGCTCTGAGAAGGTGGCCGCATGGCTGCAGACATAGATGACGTGAGGGACCAGCATAGAATAGCAGGCGGAATGAGAGGAGAGGGTGGGAAAAGGCCCAGAGGCAGAAGCCAAGCTAGGAACGGGGAGTTTTGGAAGCCAACTGAAGAAAGAGTTTAAGAGAAAGAGAAGAGAAGAGCAATGTCCAATGCCTCCAGAAAAGTCAAATAAGGTAAAGCCTGAGAGGGTCTACTGGATTTGGTATTAAAAGATATCGGAGATTTTGGCAAGTGTGATGGGGTAGAAGCCACACTGCTGTGGGTGGAGAAGTGGCAGTGCCAAGTGTAGGGCACCTGTGGGAAGTGCCCCTGGGAGAGGGAGTGGTCACAACTTAAGTTTCTCCATAGCTCATAGCCTATGGGAAGGAGCCAGTAAAGGGAGACTTGGAAGCTCAGAAAAGACACAAGAAGACAAGACTGAGTGAGGATTGTCAAACCAAGGAGCTTCCCCTTGGTCCAGACCAATTTGACGCTAAAGGTAAGTCTACCTGAGTAACTGACACAGATGGCTTAATGCCTCTTAAGTGTCCAGACAGTTCCCAGTGCATAAAAGTTCATAAAATGGACATTAATAAGTGTCCATTCAATGAATGGAGTATGGGCATGAGAATTAGGATAATTACTGTCTGCTGGTGTCTTCTTTGGGAAGAATCGGAGCTGGATGGGCAGTTGTGCATGTGCTTAGTGGCTCAGTCATGTCTGACCTCTTTGGGACCCCATGGACTATAGCCGCCAGGCTTCTCTGTCCATGGGGGTTCTCCAGGAAAGACTACTGGAGTGGATTGCCATGCCCTCCAAGGGATCTTCCCAACCCAGAGATCGAACCCAGGTCTCCCACATTGCAGACAGATTCTTTACCTTCTGAGCTGCTAGGGAAGCCCATGAGTACTGGAGTGGGTAGCCTATCCCTTGTCCAGGGAATCTTCCCAAACCAAGAATCAAGGGTCTCCTGTATTGCAGGCAAATTCTTTACCAGCTAAGCTACCAGGAAACCCCAGATGGGCATTTACAAGGCATCAACTGGCTGGAGAAAAGGAGGGAACACTTTCTTAAACGCCAAAAGGTTGATTTAAAAGTAATGGAATGTAAATTGTTGCAGCCACTATGGAAAATAATATGGAGGTTCCTCAAAATATTAAAATAGTATTGCCGAAAGATATCTGCACACTCATGTTCATTAAAACATTATTCACAATCGCTAGGAGGTGGAGGATATGGGGAGAAGTTGGTAAAAGGGTACTAACTTTCAACTATAAGATGAATAAGGTCTGGACTTCGCTGGTGGTACAGTGGATAGGAATCCACCTGCCAGTGTTGGAGACAGTTCAATCTTTAGTTTGGGAAGATTCCACCTGCCAAGGAGCACCTGAGTTCATGCACCACGATAATAGCCCCATGCTGCTGCGACTGCTGAAGCCCTCATACCTGGAGCCTGTGCAACAACAGAAGCCACTACCATGAGAAGCCGATGTACGGCAGCGAAGGGTAGCCCTAGCTTGCCACAACTGGAGAAAGCTCAGATGCAGCAGTGAAGGCCCACTGCAGCCAAAAATAATAATAATGAATTTTTAGAAAAGATGAATAAGTTCTGAGGATCTAATGTAAAACATGGTGACTATGCTTGATAACACTGTATAGTATAACTGAAATTTGTTAAAATAGTACAACTTAAATATTCTCACACACACAAAAAAGGATAAAAATGTGAGGTGTTGGATGTGTTAATTAACTACTTGGGAAATCCTCTCACAATATATAGATCTATCAAATCACTACAATGTACACTTTAAATATCTTAAAATACTGTATGTCAATTATACCTCAAAGCTGAAATTTAAGCAAAAAACCAGAGCATCTAAAAATAAATTTTAAAAATAAAAAGTATATAAACATCAAATGAAGTAAGTTGCCTACAGTCAGAACAGGGAAGAACAGAATATTGTTTTGAACGAAATGATGTCCCTTGGGGTTGACCTCCCTAGCAAATG